ATTACATCTCACCCCAGGAAAAGAAAGGGCAGGAGCCCCAGCCGGTTTGGCTCAGTGGACAGAGCATCGGCCTGGGGACTGAAGGGTCCCAGGCTCGATTCCGGTCAAGGGCATGTACCTTGTTTTCGGGCACATCCCCAGTAGGGGGTGTGCAGGAGGCAGCTGATCGATGTTTTTCTCTCATCGATGTTTCTAACTCTCTATCCCTCTCCCTTCCTCTCTGTAAAATATCAATAAAAATATATTTTTTTAAAAAAGAGAGAATCATCATCTTTATGATGTTCATTTGGACCTGGGTTTCCTTCTATGCTTGTTAAAAAGAATTGGCTGCACAGCTCCCTCATCCCCAGCCTTTGGGCCCATCACTAGAGCTGTCACCATTTTTGTCAACCACCCAACACTGCCCTCCTAAACCCTCTGTGGCCAGGCCCTCCCTGAGTTTTAGGGGAGGAACCTACTCCTTAGAGAGATGGAATCTCAGGTGATTTTTAGATCCTTCTCTTTGCTTGGTTGTATTCTTCAAAGTTCTATAGTGAGCATGTACTACTTGTACAGCAAGAAAAACGGAAAACTCAAACAAGACAAGAAAAACACAACAGGGACATGCCCCTGCCTGCTGCTCTCTTCCTGTTCGAGAAGGGGCCGGGAAAGGACACCCTTTGGTTTCCTTTACCCCTAGCTACTAAATTATAATTCATAAGAGTTGTCATTATTTATGATTCTTCGCCCATGTTCAGCAATTTTTTTCATGCTCAAAACTGCTCAACTCTCTGAAGTTGCCTAAGAACTTAAAGAAAACAAACAGTGGGTGAAGAAGGCAGGAATGATCGACCCATTTATCAGGTGAGAAAACTGAAGCTCAGAGCAGGAAAGTCACAGAGACACACAGCTGGTCAAAAAGAAAGGGGGTTGAACCTCAGACATTTTGATGCTAAATTCAGTGTTCCTCTGCACAGCGCAGGGGGGGTGGAGCAGGATGAGGGGGCTAATACGAGGGGGAGGCTTGCAGGGGAAGAAGCACATCCGGGGATGGCTGTGGAGAGGGGACCAGAGGAGTGAGCAAAGGAGGTGAAGGTCGCGAGGTTCTGTCTTTGGTTGGAAAGGCTATGGGGTTTGGAGGGGTCTGGTTCTAGGCTCAGCACCCATCTCCCCAAATCCTGCTTGGGTCATACCAGCTTCTCAGCCTCCCAGGTGTCCATGACCAGCAGCGTGGTGTCTTCTCCGTCCACCGTGAGGGTCCTCTCGTACACATCTTCTGTAACGGAGGGAAGAGCTGGATCTCAGGAGGAGGGCGGGCCTGGGGAGGGTGTGGCCTCGCCCCTCTTTATGGTCACTGCACCCCCTCTACTTCTCCCTGAAGTGTTCACCACACTCATGTGATGCCTGTGTCTCCTGATAGGTCGAGAAGCTCCAGGAGGAGGAGCTCCGGTCTCCCCAGCTGCCAGCATGGTATGAGGCACACAGTAGGTACTGAGACAGCGTTGCTGGTTGTGGTTGCTGATTGAATGAGTGTGGGGTGGGGGCTGGGAATTCTCCAGTCCTGCCCTGTCCCTGGCTTACTGTATACTTCAGGCAGGTCATGTTGCCCTCTCTGGGCCTCAGTCTCCCCATTTGTCTGTCACACCTACAGGTGCACATACGCACACGTCTCGTATGGGTTCTCACCCTCAGAGAGGCAGAGCCTGGAGAAAGGGCCTGGCTAGAGTGTCCCCCAGCTTCTGTCTGCTTTTAACCAACTCCCCACTCCACTTACCCTAGTCCTCTCAGCCAGTCCTGCGAAAACCTATCTTCATTTCCTCTGCCCTATCCCCATCCCCATCCCCCATCATCCTAGGGCCCCTGCTCACTGCATCTCCTGGGAATAAAGGAACCCAGGGCCCAGAACTTGGAGTCCGAGAGTCTCCATGTTGGGCAGGATATTAGTTTTGCCACAGGCGTGGTGGCCATGCGTGGTTACCTATGGAGCTGGGGTGATCCGAGAGTCAGGGAGTCGGGGCTAGGGCTTTCTAAGCGAGGTGGAAGGCCACCATTTCTTTATACTTGAGACTCAACCCCATATCTCTCACCCATGAAAACTGGCAAAATTCTCACTATTCAAGGAATCTCTCTCCCACAGCCATTGTGCTGTGCCCTGCCTAACTCTAGGGGGGCATATCCACGTCACAGTCTGTGCGAATGACGCCCCTGTGAGCTGAGCAGGGCATGAGCTGTACAGCTGTTATTGGCAGCCTTGTGCCCTTGATCGCTCCTTTGGCCACATTCCAGCCCAGCCCCGTGTCCCTACCTCCCAGCTGTTCGTGGAGCTCCCGCTCTTGCTTCCCCGCGAAGAGGCTGGCCAGGCTGGTCTTCCCTACGCCAGGATCTCCCAGCAGCACCACGCGGTACAGGGCCTCCCAGGAGCCCTCCGAGTCGCTGGATTCAGACGACCAGCCGTCGGGGGCAGGTGAAGGCTGCTGGGGGGGAGGGTTGAGGGAGGCCGACTGGCCCAGGCGTGGGTGCCGGGCTTGTGTGGAAGTGGAAGGTGCGGCGCACAGGCCAGGCTGGCGGCCCCGGGAGGACAGGGGCAGCGGGGTGCTGGCTCGCCGTCGCAGGGGCGTCTTTGCTTCCTGCTGCGTGTTTAGTGTCATCCTCGGGAGGGGGCCTTGGCTCCTGCCTTCCTCCTTCTGTGAGTAAGAAGGGGAATGGGCGGTGAGCAGGTGCGCTGAGCCCCTTCTGCAGGGCCCCGAGGTGGCTTCCTCCAGAGCCTCCCTCCTCGGGGTGGGGGCTTCCCGGCTTCAGGCCCAGGGTCTGCCTGGGTCAGGCTGGGAGGGTGAGTGTGCAAGCTGTGCACGCACATGTGTGCACACCCAGAGGCTGGTTCCTGTGCCTTGAGGATGGTCTCCTCCCCCACGGGCAGCAGAGGGGCAGCAGCGAGGTGATGCCCCCACAAGCACGCACACACGGTGTGCACAGACCTGCCTCTCCCACGCAGAACACGAGACCCAGGCTCTGGAAGGATCTGAATTACCCGGGACGCCCCTGCCCCCAGGCCTCTTCCCCTCGGTTGGGAGATGGGTGTGTGGAGGAGGGGTAAGGGCCCCTGGGGAGGGTCACTTCCGCTGCCCCGCCTCACGAGGGCTGAGGAAGAGGCAGGAATGGGTGGGCTGGGACGCTGAAGCGCGTGGGGGTCCGGGGGTTCCCTCCGCGGT